ATTTACCATTGTCATGTAAATAGATTCACAGGACCAGGAAGTATTATAACTGTCATGTAAATAGATTCACAGGACCATCGATTTAAACGTTTTCCGCATATAATATTATATTAATAGCAATTAATAAATTAAGTGTCAATATGTTTGGATTTTTTTAATCATGCATTTCTTCTGATATAATAGTTAATTATCTTTTGGCAGTTTGTCTCACGCTTTTGTTGATTCCATCCTAACTTAAAATAGACAACTCATTCGGCAACTAAATAAATAGAGTCATTCATCGCTGAATAATATTAAAGGTTAAAATGTTTAATTACTCGAAATGAATCGAGGATTAATCTTTTAGTTCAGTTAGTAAAAGTAAGGATGGTTTGTCAAAGGATTTCCAAGATACACTTGATAACAAGAATGGTTTGGCAAATGGTTTCCAAGATACACTTGATAACAAGAATGGTTTTGCAACTGTTCCCAAGATACACTTGATAACAAGGATGGTTTTACAATGGTTCCCAAGATACACTTGATAACAAGGATGGTTTTACAATGGTTCCCAAGATACACTTGATAACAAGAATGGTTTGGCAAAGGATTTCTAATGTGCATTTAATAACAAGGATGGTTTTCAAAAGGGTTCCCAAGAAGCACTTGATAATAAGGATGGCTCGTCCCAAATATTCAGCGATGTAGGCTTGCTAACAATTCTGGTCGGGAAAGGCATATTCAACTTTATACATTTGGTCACAAGAGTATCTATATTGCACCATTATGAAAATGTTGATTACATCCCAGTAAACGCCTCTTGGTGACTTAGCGGTGAGTCTGGGGGCTTATAGTACTAAAATTTGGATTTCGAACCAAACAGTGGGTATAGCACAGGGGAGCACATTGTGTAGCTTTGTGCTTAATAACAAGCAAACAAACAAATCCTTAGTGCAATCTAGTGCCGTTTTTATCAACCGTTATTCAAATATAGCTTCAGTTGGCTGTTTTATGAGCTTCCTCTATGAAGTTTATAAAGATCAAGAGAAACTTATGATTAATTGTTAAAAAGACACAAAATTCATCAATGTATTTTCCTATTGTCACCAGAACCTTATATTTGATGAATGTGGAATATTTTCAATGCATCAGGCCCCTCAGCGGCTCAGAAATAGCCCATTGTATAGCTTTGTGCCTAACAACAAACAAAACAACTAAGGTGTAGATTTCCTACTGTTCGAAGTTAGAATTCTGTGACAAAACTCAGTTGCTAATAAAAATATATCCTTAAAAGTTACGTAATGTAAAATGTGTATTTTTTCTTTGTATTATTTCAACGGAAACTTTGAGTTTTGAATGTTTAACGCGAAAATTAAGTAAAGCGTTAATACTGATCCAATCAGCTCTTTAAACCAATTTTTCTTAATTGCGTATTACTTGTGGGTCCAGAACTTTTATTAGTTACATTATCCTTACACAAATATATACACACACACAAGTAAATAAATAAATAAAAAATACCGTCAATATTGCAGTTATTCACATTAATTATTGCTGGGGTTCCCTTCTATATATTAATTATTGCTGAGGGTCTCCTCTATACATTAATTATTGATGGGGTCACCTTTATACATTAATTATTTATGCGTACCCCTCTATAAATTAACTATTGTTGGGCTCCCCTCTATATTTTTCACCGCAAATGAGCGGTTGCACCCACTTTTTTTTTTGGCCAGTCCTTTGCACTGAGTTTTATAACAACAACAAAAAACTCGGTAACATGCAGTACGTGGACCCTAAATTAACGTTATGAGAGCGGATTAGCCCTTTGGTAGAGCTCTGGGTGTCGGAGCTGGCGAGCCGGGTTCGAATCCGTGCGACACTACCAAATATTCCCCGTACTTTCAGCTGTAGATGCGTTATACGAGTAACAATAAATTCCTTAACGTGGATGGTGGGTGCTGCTGACTGGCTTCTTTCCTTCTGGTTAGGAGTTTAAAATTATGGACCTCACCAGACAGCCTTAGTAGTTTGGGCATAACTATAAAAACTTTATGAAAAAATATGACTTAACGGTGTAAAACAATCTGATAATTAATACGAGAACCTGCAGACTTCTAATTAAATATTATTTGAAATAAAATTAAACCCAAAGCAAAATGTAGCAACAAGTGTTTCATAGGTAATATGATGCCCTCGAAAATTGATCGTTTTGGGGAAATATATGTAACAGCAGCAAGTCATACCCCTGCTGTGGTGAACAAAATGCAGCATCTTGTAACAGGTGAGACTTTACGAAAACAAAAGTCAGTGGCAAAATCCTTCCACCTTCCCCCAGACAACAGTGGAAACGAGTTTAAAGTAATATGGTTCATCGAGATAAAGCTTCCAGTCATACTTCAATTCGTAGTGTAGGAAACGGGGCAGACCCCCACTTTCAATCTGTCCCTGTAAAATGTATCAAAATTGGGAAAATTACTCCCAGAAAAAGCAGGAGAACGCATAAAATGTAATCCAGAACTCAAGAGCTTCTGGCAATAATGGGTGTTTGGTCAAACAGATCTTGTCCTCTCCCTCACTTTCAGTTCAATCGTTACAGCAGAAGAATGAAGCTGCAGGACTGTTGTCAAGATGTACGATCGTCAGATAGAGCACGACAGGACATGGTTACATGGATAGTAACGATGTGGTGAGGCTTCGAGATCGTTTTAATATAACGTACTCAAACATTGTTGGTTGTGTATGTCTTTTTAATCTTTATTAATAAGTTAAATTGCATTTCATCGCTTCATCTAATGCACCCTCCAAATCACAAGTAAACCATATATACCCAGTGGCCCAGCGATAAGTCTGGGGGCTAAGAACGCTAAAAATCGTGTTTCGATAGTCGCAATGGGTAGAACACAGATAGCCCATTCTGTTTCTTTGTACTTAATAACAAACGAACAACACTATTTGTCAAACACTATATCAGACAATAACACGACGTCACCGATGTAAACACAAACTTTTTTTTCAGCCAAATTACACAGCAGTTGCTGAGAACTGTAATATGTGGCGGAACTTTGACGATATCGCTGACTCTTGGAGCAGTGTTCTTTCCATCATTGATTATCACTCTGCTCATCAGGACCAACTGGTACCTGTAGCTGGACCTGGAAAATGGAACGATCCAGACATGGTAAGGATTTCTAATCGTTTCATCTGAGGACTTTTTAATGTTCGATATTTTATTTGTTAATACTCAATATTGTAAAATGGTTTACTCCCAGAAATATATCTTATGCTGTTCAGCGTATCACAGCAGCTTCTCTGAGACTTTCTTATAGTGTTTATGGAGTCGAACGCAACAGGAATTAGTTGTTTTGTAATTATAAAAGTCAAGATTTTGTTCCTATAGCAAAAGATTCACAATCGTTTCACCAGGTAGAGCTGTTCGAAGTTATATTTACCTTGTGTATAAATGTGTGAAAACCATCTAGAACCAGGTGTGGCCTAGCAATAAATGTGCCTGACTACATGATTGGAAGGTCCAAGGTTCAAGCCACAATATGCCAGTGAACATATCTGCACTTAACAGTACAGGTCAAGTTACCAGTACATTAGTAAATAAACTGGAGTCTTTATCGTATTCATTAGAGGTCAAGTTACCAGTACATTAGTATATAAACTGGAGTCTTTATCGTATTCAGTACAGGTCAAGTTACCAGTACATTAGTAAATAAACTGGAGTCTTTATCGTATTCATTAGAGGTCAAGTTACCAGTACATTAGTATATAAACTGGAGTCTTTATCGTATTCAGTAGAGGTCAAGTTATCAGTACATTAGTATATAAACTGGAGTCTTTATCGTATTCAGTAGAGATCAAGTTACCAGTACATTAGTAAATAAACTGGAGTCTTAATCGTATTCAGTAGAGGTCAAGTTACCAGTACATTAGTAAATAAACTGGAGTCTTTATCGTATTCATTACAGGTCAAGTTACCAGTACATTAGTAAATAAACTGGAGTCTTTATCATATTCAGTACAGGTCAAGTCGCCATTACTTTAGTAAATAAACTGGAGTCTTTATCATATTCAGTACAGGTCAAGTCGCCATTACTTTAGTAAATAAACTGGAGTCTTTATCATATTCAGTACAGGTCAAGTCGCCATTACTT